AAAAAACAGGAACTCTTAAAAAAAGTTTAGAGTATTTGCCCTACCTGGCTTTCTTGACAAACCTACAGTAAGGGCTGGGGAAGATACGCAGACAGGTCTGTGAGACAGAGACAGAACAGATGCATGTGCACACCGTCAGCTGACCTTAGACGAACATGTCAGCGTAATTAATAGGGAAGGAAAAGCTGTTCACCAAATACTGTTCTGTCAACTGAACATCAGTTTGGGGGAAAGCTTTTACTCTTTCTTTATCCAGGACAAAAATAACTTGAAATGAATCAGAGCTATAAACATAAAGCCCCAAATGCTAAAACTTCTAGAAAACAACACCAGAAAATGTCTGGGATCTTGAACTAAGCTGATGATTCTTACAAAGACTACAAGAAAGACTTGAAACAAAAGGAAAAACAACAATGAAACAAACCATCAGAGGACTGGGGAGACTGCTCAGTTGGTGAAGTGCTTACTGTGCAAGCATGAGGACCTGAGTTCAATTCCCCAGAACTCATGTAAAAACCAGAGCTAAAGCTGGGTGTGGTAACCACTGGCACACATTTGTAGCTGATGCACTGAGGAGCTGGAGATAGGCTGGCTAGCCAAGCTTGATTGGTGAGCTTGATGCTAGTGATAGACTCTGCCTTCAATCCCAGCACTCAGGAGGCACTGGAGGGTGCATCTTTGTAAGTTTGAGGACAGTCTGGTCTATATAGAAAGCTTGCAGCCAGTCAGGGCTACATAGTGAGACTCTGACAGAAAACAAACCCAAACCAAGTTAGAGCCTCCTATAGAAGAATACCTGTGGCGGTTCTCCTGCTTCCCACACACTGTGCATTCACACACACACGTGCACAGGTATGCATGCAAGCACCCATGTATATTCAAATAGATTAGATTTCACTGAACTTTAGTTTTTTTGCTCTTTAAATACCATTAAAAAGAGGAGGAACAACAATAAACAGGCTAGAGAGATGACGTAGTGGTTACAAGCACATCCTGCTCTTGCAGAGGACCTGGATTATATTCCCAGCACCCACATTGGATGGCTCACAGGTACCTGTAACTTTAGTCCCAGGGTTCCCAAAGCCCTCTTCTGACTTCCAACGGCAACACACGTATATGTACGTATAACACCACGCATGCATATGTGTATACACATGCAGGCAAAGCACTCATATATATAAAACAAAAAATAATCTTTAAAACAATGATTTTTTAAAAACTCCATGTCACAGACTCAAAGAACATATTTCTCATGTACATGTAAGGAAAAGAACCTGTATGTAGAAATAAATCTACATATATGTGTATGTATAAATATCTTTATTTCATGCATAATTATATTATGTAATATATACTTATATAATACATATTTAATAATATGTTTATTTATTTATAATATATTTATATTATTAATAAGGACTAGAAAGACAGGTTAGCAGTTAAAGTACTTGCTGCTCTTTCAGAAGAGCTAAGGTTGAGTCTCAATACCCACATGGTGGTTCACAATTTTATGTACCTCCAGTTCCAGGGATCTGACGCCCTCTTCTGTCTTCCATAGGCAACAGGCATACATGCAGTACACAGACACATACGCAGGCAAAAATATTTACACATACTCACACACACACACACACACACACACACACACACACAAACTTCAAATAAGATTGAAAAAGTTCTAATTAAAAACAGGAAAAGAGTATTGTATATTTTCTCTCATAAGCAGAACCTAAAATAAAAGCAACCTAACAGATGACTCAAAATTAGTAGAGAGAGTACTCAGGCAAAGTGGCTGGGGAGGGGGCTGAGGAAGTGAGGGGGAGGGTAGATACGATGAGAGCGTGATATGTGTATATGTGGAAATGTCACAGTGAAGTCCATTAATACAGAGATTTAATATATACTAATAATTATAATAACAAAACAAATGGGAAAGAGAAATCGGAACCACTTTACACACATGCCAGGACTTAACGGATAAATACATTACACTTAATGAAAGCCAGATTTCTCACTATCAGGAAAAGATACTGCAAATAAACAAAATGAATGAGAAACCCAGAATAAATACTGTGGCATTAGAATGGCAAACATTAGTATGATCTCATGTTTATTTTAATATAGGTAGGTATACATTCATACAGAGATAGCCGTGCGTACTGAGAGGGCTTTAAAAGCAATGAGCACCCCCAATACCCAAGCACACACAGTAACCAGATCTTGTTTCTAAAGACTGTCTAAGGAGCTGGGTCCTGGTGAGAGATGGCTGAAGACAGGGCTAGCACAGGGCAAATGCAAGATGAACTGGACCATAGCACCTCAGGAGAAAGAACACCAAAAGATGGTAAAAGTCACAAGAGTCAACCTGAAACACTATTATATGTTTACTCATTTTAGAAAGAGTTAGCTATGTATCCCAGGCTGGCCTTGGTCTCATTAAGTAGCCTAGGCTGGCCTCAGACATATGACAATTATCCTGATTCAGGTTTCTGTGTGTGTAAGCACATTGCACCAGACATCTCCTAGGAAATACAGTTATGTGCCACCATTCATTTTGGCCATGGATGTCATATGAGAAGATGTCAAGGCTTCGGCTATAAATCTGGTATCTCTGAACAGGTAAATACTTAGGGCTCCTTAAGAAGAAGTTTGAGGTCAGTAACTGGTTGGTTTCAGCATCAAATAAGCCATACTTTTTTTCTCTGTACTTACACTGGACCAAATTACAAAGGGAGGTAACAATTTCTAATATGCTACAAAGTAAACCATGGTTTCCTGTCTTATTCTAACAAGCCATTGTGTTAGATTCATTCTCTTTTGTTTTTAACTTTTTTATATGTACGTTTGTGTATCTATGTGTGTGTGTGTGTTCCTCATGTGTTGAGATGGCCATGGAGGCCATCAGTCCTCTGGAGCTTGAGTTATAGGCAACTGTGAGTCGCTCCACGTAAGTCCTGGGAACTGAACTCCAGTCCTCTGGAAGAGCAGCAAGCCCTTCAACTGCTAAGCCATCTCTCCAGCCCCGTGGATTCATTCTTAAATTCAATAAGCACTTAATATACACTTTACATCTCCTATGAGTCAAACCTTTGTCTAGATACTGGGAATCAAAGGAGAAGGAATGTTGGGAAGGAGGGAGGGAGGGAAAGGGGAGGAAAAGAGACTGAAGGAAGCAGGAGAAGGGGAGGGGGGCGTTGGGACTCCCAATTCTCATAGAGTTTTAGGTTCACTCATGATTTTTAGGTTCACTTCCAGTTCAAAACTTCCTTGACTTCCTTCTGTGTTAACTAGGCAGCATAAAAACGCACAGTGAACCTTTGAACCTGACCTCCGCAGCTCACACCTTCTATCACCTTACCCTGTATGTCACCACACATGTTTTAGAAAAACGGGATTAAGAATACAAGTTTCCACAATGAGACAAAGCACATGTAGTCACTTAATGAAGCAAGTCATTTCCCAGTCCTGCCTGGGAGAGGAAAGAAAGAAAAATAAAACCTAGCAAGTTCTCCCCAGACAAAATGCAGTATTTAGTGCATTACAGAGATTAAAATCTGATGCTTTTCCCCACCATAACCCTCTATAATGTACTCCTGGCCTGGAATTAGGCCTTTATTGATCCTAAGTTATAACACAAAAGATAGCCATTTCTCTAGCGTGGAGGATTTTTCCATGGACAAGGCGAGTGTAATGAAGAAACAAACAGCTCCTGCTGCTACTTGGGTACCACTGGACACCTGCTACGTGCCAGGCAGAGCACGAGCAAGTGTGCGGGTGAAGTTCAACTGTACAGACTGCCAATGTCAGCAAATCTCTACAAGGCGAACGGATATATTTAGTTAGGTCCCAGAAGAGGGCATGTGCATAGGTAGCTGCATACACGAATGCCTCCCACAGTTCCAGAGGCCTGAGACTGTGGACAACTCTTCAGTGTAAGAGGCACCTTTAGAGAAGCATGTGCAAGCCACAGTGGAAAGAGGCTGCATATGGGAGTAACAGTCCCTGGGGGCAAACAATTCCTGGGGCATCATGGCAAGCTGTGAATTTTAAGTATTTTTCTAACCCACAGCACTTTGAAAGCTGTTCAAAGTCACATGGCTTCATTTGAAATAAAGTGTGATTTAGTGTGCACACTTGGCTTCCAGAGACATTTCAAATCTGCCATTCTTTCCCTCTGAGGAAGAGCATAATAAAGCACCAGACTCTATGAAGACCCAAGATCTGTCCATTCCGACTGAGGTTATGGTTTCTTTGGAATGTCTCACCCAACCCACATCTTTCCAAAGGCAAACACTTCACAAATCAGACTCTTACAACTGATCCTATTAATTTTAAAATCCTTCTTTTAAAAGTGGATTCATCCTGGGTGAATATAATAAAAGTACAAATTAAATTGTAAGAAAACTATCTTCATTAAAGCCAGCACTATATATATAAACCAATGAAGTGTTTTTTTTTTTACATTTATTTATTTATTGGTTAAGTATTTGTATGTTCGTGTGTCTTGGAAGTCAGAGGACACCTTATAGGAGTGGGTGGGCTCCTTCCTTCTGCCCCAGGAATCCCAGGGACCACACTCAGGTGTTAGGTTTGGGGGCAGAGGTCTTAGCAGCTGAGCCATCAATATCAACCCAAATGCTTTCTTCAAGTACTTTAGTCCACTGACCTTCTTTCCCCCTTCCGTGTCCTGGAAGCTATTGGTCACACACTGTACCTTTCATGCTTGAAGTTCACATCTATAAGACGTTAATAAAATAGTCTGCTAGTCATCTTCCAAGTAATTATATCTCAAGCTTCATCTAATAGAATGTGGCACGTTTACTTTACATTATTAGCAGATGGGAACTTTGATTTCTAACATTTAAAACACACCAGAAGCCATCTGAATACAACATTATTAGCATCATTATTAGTAAAATCTAGAGATTTTTTCCAAGAATAATATGATAATCGCTTGAAGAAAACAAGGAGTTTGAACAGGTACTTATACAAAAACCTACCAGCTCATTGCTTGTCGATGTGAGTCTTAGTTTTTCTTCAATTTCCTTTCCAATTCTCTGAACAGTTACCTGAGTCTGTTTAATTGCACACTGGGCTCTATGAAGCCTAGAAATACAAGTTGTAGAAAAATGTAAGTGAGTTAATTACAAAGTCTAAACATAGAGAGCCACAGACATGAATTATAAATCTCCTAGGATAAATAGAATCAATCCTGAACAAACCAATTATTTCTGCAGTCAAACATATAATAAAGTAACAGGAATTACAAGTCCTAAAATAACAGCACTCTGAAATTCCTACTTCTGCTACAACATAGTTAGGGTAAAGGACTCTAGGGATTTAGAAGCACTTTAGAAAATGATCTAGTTGAGGGGCTGAGAAGATGGCTTAGTCAGAAAGCAGCCTGCATCTCGAGCATGAGGACCTGAGTTCAATCCCTGGCACCCATGTAAAAGCTGGAGATGGCAGCACAAGCTTGTAATCTCACTGCTGGTGGCAAAGACAAGGGATTCCTGGAGCTTCCTTTATATAAATTCCTATAATTTATACAAACAGTAAAAGATCTAGAAGTAACAAACTGATCTTAAAATCTGTCAGATCTCAAGATTTGTCTATAGGTGCATGATCAAGATGAAAAATAGATCAATAACAAGGTGCTCTTATACATCCAGATAGTGGAAGACTGAGGCAAGCTCACTTGAGCTCAGAATTTGAAGACTAGTGGGGACACAGTAGTGAGACTCCATCTCAACAACAAATAAGGGCTAGAGAGATGGCACAGTGGTGAACACTCACTCAAAGGATCCAGGTTTGATTTCCAGCACCCACAAGGCAGCTCACAGCTATCCATAATGTTAGTTCCCAAGGATCCAATACCTTCTTCTGGTCTCCATGGGCACTAGGCATACAAATAATGCATGCGCACACCACACACACACAGACACACACAGACACACACACACAGACAGACACACACACACACAGAGGCAGAACAATTGTTTAACTAATTTACCAGAGCTAGGGCTGTCCACCTAGAGACAGCAGTAAGAAAGTGAAACATAGTCTTAAACTGGGAGAAAACAGCAAAACCCCTAATCACAAACTGTGCCAGGAAACCACACCAAGAAAAGGACAGACTCTTCAGCAAATGGTGTGGGTAGCTAGATCTCCTAATAAAGGAGAGTGAAATAGATTCCTCTCACTCTGCAAAAGGTTAACTCAACATAGATAAAAGACTTTAAGTCGTAAAACTCTGAACATGCTAGAGAAAAAAACAAAAGAAGCAAATCCACTTCAAGATATAAGCATTGGCAACTTCAGATCCAGGCACAGGCAGACTTCCTGCAAGGACTCTAGCAGCTCAGGGGGCAGGGCTGGGGCCGTGGGTGGGACTGTGTGAAGCTAGCAAGCTGCACTGCAAAGCAAGCATCAGCAGGATGAAGGCAGCCTACAGAGTGGGGAAAAATCCTTACCAGTGACATGCTGACAGTGGGGAGGGGGTCGATACAGCATACCTGAGCAAGGGACAGACACTGGGGAACTGAGGAACTATGTGAGGTGATGGGAAACTTAAATCTTGACTGGGATGAAGACTACACCAAAACCGCACTATGACGTGTGTGAAAATTTCATTTCATTAAAAAAAAAAAAAACATTATCAGTCTTAGCCTGAATGTCTTCAGGGGTGGGATGTCATTGTATAATGGATTGTATGGCGTCAGTATCTCTGGAAGCATTTCAGTAGGACCCCTTCTAGACTGTTGGGAAGTACCTGATAATTACTGAAAATCAGCAGCTCCCCCAGGATTCAGCATCATGTTGTATAAGATACGCCTCTATAGAAACCTGAATGCAAGGGAAGGTCGTCACCAGATAGTCCCTACTCCATCCCCAGCCTGGTCTCCCTCCTTGTACCGAGCCACTGGCATTTCTTATTTCTGTGCCTCTTTATAATCCATGTATCTGCCCACACATTTTCTCTGTTTCTTGCAGGTAAGCAGAGTCCTAACCCACTAAGAGGCAGCATAGCCATAACGTTTGTTCCTCTGGCCTTCTGTGGCTGCACCAGGCAGCTGAAGGCATTTGCTCCTCCTCTAGAAATATATACCAGCTCACACACAGCACCACAACAGCCAGTACTAAGGACCACATTACAGCAAATGGTCTTCTTCTTGTCCTTTTCTTAGCAGGTCTCTCTGAGGGGCAAGAATACTCATTCTCATGCATAAAGGAGGCTCTCCATCTACTTCCTGATTGTCCAGCATTCACATATATGTCAGCGCATTCCTGAGAGTGGACATTTTGACTGATAGAGTGGGAGATTAACTGACAGACATTGTTTCCTATACTTACAAGATCAACATATTTTATCAAGAAAAGGTGCATAAAGACCTCTCCCCTCAGGCGGAGGAAATAAGCAATTTTTACTAAAAACAATAGGCATTATCAACCCAGGGACAAGTCAACAAATAGCATTATTTTATGGAGGAGGGAGCTGCTTAGAGCTCCGCTGGTACTATGCAAACAACCTTGTCAAATGGTAAAGACTTTAAAAATAAAAATGATTCATGACCATAATTAATGTATGACTTCAACTATTTGGCTCTCTCTGCCCCAGACGCTTTCTGATCTTACCTTAGGGGCTTAAAACACACAGACAGAGTCACATTTCCTCCAATCTTCAGTGTTATCCAAACAGACTCTCAGAGCCCCTGCCACAGCAAGACGGGGCTCATAATGTCCTCCTTTCAAATCCAACTGGAGAATAAAAGTTTCAAGTATTTAGGCTTTTCAAAATAACATGGTACATCTTGATCCTCCTGGGGGTCAGGAGGGAAAGGCCTGACAGGCGGAGAAACAACTGCTTTGCCTTCACACAGGACGGCTGCCTGAGGAGGAGGGACGCTTCTTGAGTTCTATGAAAAGCATCTATAAAGAGAAACACACCAGCTAGTCACCTGAGTGACTGCTCAATGCCAGGGCACCCAGCTGAGGTAAACTCAGCACACTGCATGTTAAGAGTTCAAGCAGCTCTCTCACAGTCACCCTGGTGACAGAGGACAGATGTGCCTTGTCATGTAACATTATCTGAGAGAGATAAGTAGAAAGTGGATTTAATGAAATTTCTTGAAAGCCAAATTTTGTTATAGATATAAAGACATATAACAAATGAAAAGTTGTATATTTAAGTAAATACTTGCAAATACTGACAACTACCAATCAGACAGTATAATCCCAGGCAATGGCACTTGAGATGTTTTTGTCTACTTAATGTTGATCATGTAGCATGTGAACTGCTACGCATTGTGTCTCAGAGGAGCAAGGACAGATCAGAACACAATTCCTGAAGCTTATGAGGAAGGACAAAGCGAAGAAGAAAATTCAGGGTGACAGAGACTAATAGGGACAAACGGGCACAGACTGGGAAAGGCTGCACGTGGTGGAAAGAGCTCAGGCTTCTCTTCTGAAGACACCTGGAAGCCATTCAGCCATTAAACTGGAAAAGATTTCAGCATCTTTGTACTTTTGAAAGCCCTACGCAGGACCTATCAGGGACTGGTGAGGGCTGGGGGAGGGAACAAAGAGGCTAGACTGGACAGCAGAAGCTAGGTTAGACTGGACAGCAGAGCTAGACAGAAGGGCAGCCATGATCGATGCAAGGGACATGTATGCAAAGAAATGCTACAGGAGACTCTTGAGTTTGTGCAATGAAGGTTGAGAGGTTCAGTGAACAAGAAAGCTGATGTGCGGTAAGCAACCATCTGAGCAAAACCAGGCATTGTCCTGAGTGAAACAAAGATAGCAAAAGATGGCAGGGGTGAAAGGTCAGTTAGAAGAGAGATAAAGTCTGATGTCTGAAAACAAATTACCAGCTGCTCTGGTGTGAACATGGTTTAACCCTGCCCCCTAAAGGACGACCTGATGGAAAGCATGGTTCTTGGGATGGTGGTACTGGAGGGTGACAGGAGCTTTAAAAAGTGTTGTCTTCTAGATGTCACTGGGGATGCACTCTCATGGGACCCTTTCCATTCTCAGAACAGGCCTGTTATATAAAAGGGACCAGCCTAACCTCCCCACCCCGCCCCGTGCTGCCTCTGCTCCTGGTTTAAGCCCTGATCCTTCCTCCCTCAGATCCTATACCCAGTGTCATCCTCCACGGGCATCAGAACCAGGGCTGCCTATATGGATTGCAGAACTGTGAACTAAGAAAGCTCTGTCCCATGACGGCCCTGTTACACAGCAAGCAACACTGAAGATCCTTTAGGCATCTGCAGGAATTAAGGGACATTCACAAACAACTTCACGTCAATAGGTTTAACTTAGATCAAATAGTCAAACTGCTCTCAAATCACTAGTTTCCATATCAAAAGAAATAGAAAATATGAATAATTACTGCCTGTTAAATTAGACTTATTGTTAGAACCTCCTCAGGCTGGAGACACAGCTCAGCGGTAGCACTTGACTAGGACCTATGAGACCCCGTTTCAACTCCTTGCACTAAAAACATCAAATCAAAATACCATGTCTGCTTACACAGAGACCAGGCTCAGGGCTTTACTGGTAAAATGCTAATATTAATCTTTCAGAGACAAAATATTTCATTTTGCCTAACAACACAAGATTAACATTGAAACAAAACACAACAAGGCTATCACAAAAACCTTCTGGTCAGTACACTAACAATGATCTAGAGCTACATTATGTTGGAAGGCCGGGAAGAGGGCAAGACATCAGCAGTCAGTACTTTATTCAACACAGTAATTGGCGTTTAAAGCAATCGAGGCAACTGGAAAAAAGGGAATAAAAAGAAGCACCACTAGAGATGGAGGAGGGGAAGGAAAACAAGAGACAAAGGCATCAAGGGATTGGTCTGGTCAAAGTATGTGTCTACATGTGTTGACAGACACAATGAAACAACTTTGTCTAGTTAACAGACATTTATCGAGAAGGGAAGAGCTAAGAGTATGTATCTGCAAACACAATGGTTGTAAATATAGAAAAATCAAAAGAGATCTTTATTTCCAGTCTACTAGAAATAAATTAGGCCAAATCTAAGATTCCAGAATAAATCTGATAGACTAGTTACTGCATGCGTGCGTGCGTGC